AAAAAAAATACAAGATATCATTTCATAAAAAAGTTGTCATTTCATAAAAAAGTTGTTATATAGTTAGAATTCTAATTTAAATTCAAAACTGGGGTTAAGGCCATCTATCGTCCCTCTACTATCCAAAATAGTTCATTCTAAACCTTCTACTATGAATTGGCTTCATGTCGTCCCTCTACAATGTAAAAGCATTCACTTGTCGTCCCTCTACAATGTAAAAGCATGCACTTGTTGTCCCTCCGTCCAATTAAACACCCAATCCTGTTTATTGACCGTTAAGTGCAAACGGTCACACTCGGTTAGGCCCTTTTTTATTATTTTTTTTTGCCACCTTGCTTTGTGGGTCCCACCTCATCTCTCACAAATTTTTTTTGCCTTTGCCGAGACTTCCCGCTGCCTCCCCACTTTGAAATTAATATTTGTTGCTGCTTTATCTGATAACTTAACTCATCAAGTAAACCAGTAAGTCTTCTTTTTCTCTGTGAAATTTCTTCCATCACTTTCCTGCCGCTTTAATTTCTCAAGGCTCTGCTTCTGGTTAACTGCTACTTAGAATTCTAAGCTCAATCTCCTGTAAAATTGTCTTCAGTTTTAATTTTGTCCATTTTCTTGCAATATATTTTTTTATTTTTCCTGTATTTTAGTTTTTTTCGTGTTGGTTTGGGATTTTAGCTTAATTTTTCAATAGTTTTTAGATATTGCTATCTGGGTTTTGTTCTTTTGGAAGTTTTGATTGAGCTGATTGGGTTTGTTTGACTGGAGGTAAAATGTTATATATATTGAATTTTGGATTTTCTGGTAGCCAGAATTTGAGCATAACCGTTTTAGTAAATGATTTGGGGAAGGTGAGTTTTTGCTTTTGAATTTAGTTGTGTCGTGTTGGTTGAGAAATAAAAGCTTATATGTGATTCAATTTAACTTACTTTCCATTTTACTTTTGCAGTATCACTCTGAAGGTTGCAGGCTGTATTTAAATGGAAATGGAGAGTTCAATCAATATGAAAAGCTCTGGTGATGTTAATGGCTCTGAGGATTCACATTCTGTTGGATCAATAAACAAGTCAGTGAAACTTAGCAATGGTGTTAAAGAGAATGAGGATCTGGGTCTTGACATTGTCAATGATCTTGATTCATACTTGGGAGACATCAATGATCGATTAACCATTTCGAGAATGGTTAATGATGCTGTCATTAGGGGCATGGTGAATGCAGTTGAGCAAGAGGTAGCCGATAAGATTGCTCAGAACGAATTGGAGCTTACAAAATTGAGGGAAACAATGCAGCTTTACCATGTTGGTTCTGATGAAAACGAATCCTTGTTGTCTTATGAATCAAAATATGAATCTTTGTGGAAGGAGATTTCAAGTTTGCGTCAGGAACTGGATGCCATTTCGAAATATCTGTCCAATCATGAAGTTGGGCAGTTGAGTCCTCATGGGTCCTTGGATTTTGATGAGGAGTTGAGCAGTAGTAAGAGAATAGATCATTTGCAGCGCAAAGTTTCAGGGAATCTTTTTTCAACATCAACTTCTCTTAGGCAGGGAAATGGCAAGCATGAAGAGTCTGTAATAACTGTTCCTGAAAATGTGGATGCTGCACAACTAAAGCACTTGTCAAGGGAAGAGTTGGTGAGTTATTTTAAGAATGAGATGGCAAAAATGAAGAGAAACCATGACTACAAAGTACAAGAGATGACTGAAGATTATTATAGCCTCAAGAGGGAATTCTTGAATTTGAAGGAAAGGGGTCCTTCTTTACCATTGAGGAAGGATAAGGATTTTGATATCTTGAGAAAAAAGATCCCTGAAGTCATTTTGAAGTTGGACAACATTCTTGTCCCAAATGAAAAATTACCTGTGTTCGGTAATAATGCTGATGGTATTGACTGCTTGAGGGACAGATTGGAATCTCTTCTTTTAGAAAACCGCCAACTGAGAGACTTACTTGCTGACAAGGAGGGAGAAGTTAATCACCTCTCTCCACAGGTTTCTGATGTAGTGGAGAAGTCACAGCAATCTTTAACTGAGGCAGACTTGCTGAAGAGGATTGAAAATCTTGAATGTGCTGTTGAAGAGGCTAGTCTTCAAGCATCAGTCAACGAAGATGTATATAAATGCCTTCTAAAGGAAGTGACGGGACAGATTGAATGCATCAGTGAAGTGACCAGTGTGGAGCATGATATCATGAAAGAAATCTACTACATTGTATTCAGAGATGCTGCATGCAATGCTGTGCTTTGCATGAAATGTGAACTTGAAGATTCAGATTTGGCATCTATTGTTGAAGAAGAGGTGTATGCAATCATGTTCAAAGAAGCTAGGAAGAAACTTGGTGACCTAAACATGAAAGAAAGAGCACTGAAATTAGAAAATGAAAAATTAAAGCAAGATATCCTCATTCTGGAAACATCTCTTGATGGAAAAGAGAAGTTACTGCAGGAAACAGCTGGTGATTTGGAAAAGGAGAAGAATCAATTTGAGTTGGTTTCTATAGAACTTGATGAGTTAAGTTATCAGATAAAGCAGCAACAAATATTAATTTCAAAGTGGGGAGGCAGCGGGAAGTCTCGGCAAAG